TAGTATATTGCATGCTTAGGTTCTTCATTTTTTTTTAAGTATCTAAGAACTCTTTCAATGGTCTTCCAATGATTATTGCTCGGATTGCTAGTAAACCTGTTAAGTTTACTTATGACATAGGCTATGTCCGATCTTGTGCATTGAACTGCATACATAAGACTTCCTATAGCACTAGCATAGTCCAATTGAGCAATCGCTCTTTCATCATTCTTTAAAAGTTTTGAACTTGGATCAAACGGGGTGCTATATTCTTTTATGTTCAAGTGTTTGAACTTGTTTATCACATTCTCAATATAATGAGATTGACTTAGGTGATAACCCCCACTAGTTTTAGTGACTTTGATACCTAAAATGGTATCCACTTGACCAAGATCCTTCATTTTGAATGTAAAAGATAGAAACATCTTTATTTCTTCTATACCGTCCATGTGATTACTCATAATCAACATGTCGTCAACATATAAATATATAAATGTCACATAATCATCATACATTTTAGAATATAAACATCTATCTATGCTGTTATGTTTAAATCCGAATGATATTATAGCTAAGTCAAATTTCTCATGCCATTTTTTAGATGCTTGCTTCAAACCATATAAATATTTTACTAACTTGCATACCTTATGTTCATTTTCAGGTAGAATGAACCCTTCGGGTTGCTCCATATAGACCTCCTCATTGAGATTCTCATTTAATAATGCTGTCTTGACATTCATTTGATGAACTTGCAAGTGATATATTGATGCCAATGCGAATAATATCCTAATCGATGTTATTCTAGGTACTGATGCATAAGTGTCAAAATAGTCGATTCATTTCTTTTGTCAATGTCCTTTGTCTACTAATCTAGCTTTGAAAGTATTTAGAGAGCCACCAATATTATATTTCCTCCTAAATACCCATTTATATCCAATAGGTTTGGATTCTGGTGGAAGATCAACAAGTTCCCAAGTTTTATTAGACATTATCGAATCCATTTCATCTTTAATTGCATTTTTCAAAAAATGCTATCACGAGAAGCCATAGATTCTTTATAGGTTTTAAGGTCGATTTCCACTTATAGAACAAAATGAATTGTTCTTACAACATTCAACTCATTTCCTTCTACTAAGTAAAAGGAGATAAGTTGAGAATCAATTTCATCCGGTCCAAAAACTTCTCAACTTGAGTTCTCTTGCTTTTTCGTGGTTCACTAGACTCATCAACATCTTTAGAAGACATTTCATCACGTGTTCCACTTGAGTTAAGGATGTTTTCAATATTTTCCTTTAATTCATTATCCGATGATAACAAATCTTCAAAGAACTCTACGTCGCTTGATTCGATAATCACATTGGTCTCCAAGTTTAGCAATCTATAAGATTTGCTATTATTAGCATATTCAACAAAAGCGCATTTAATGCTTCTTGGATCCAATTTGTTCCTATTAGGATTTGTGTTCTTGCAATAAGCAAAACATCCCACACTTTGAAGTATCCAATATTCGATTTTCTTCGTTTCCGTAATTCATAAGGAGAAACCTTTGTATGTTTAGAAGAAACCCTATTAAGTATCCTACATGCACTTAATAAAGTTTCACCCCATAAATTAAATGGAAACTTAGCATATATAAGCATGGCATTATCATTTCTACTAAGGTTCTATTCTTTCTTTCTAGGTGCAGAACATTGGTGAATTATACCATATTGTTCACAATATAAATTAAATTCACTAGAAAAGTATTCGCCATCTCTATCACTTCTTAAAGTCTTTATTTTCAACTTCATTCTTATAAGTTTTAAACAAATCAAAGGCCTCATATTTGTGTTTCATGAAATAAACATAGGTATATCTTGAACAATCATCAATAAATATTATGAAATATCTATTTCCACCTTTTGTCAACGTGTCATGCAATTCACATATATCAGAATGAATTAATTCTAATATGTTAGAAGTCCTCTTAACGCTTTGATAATGCTTTTTAGCCATTTTTGCTTCTACACATGTTTTGCATTTAATGACATCATTTTTATCATATGAAATTAAGTCACAATTTCTCATGAGTTTCATTATTCTTTTACCTATATGACCTAATCTAACATGCCATAAAGAAAATAAATCAATCATGTAAGCAAAATCAACTTTATTTATTTCATTGTCAATAGTACAAAGTTTGAGCATTCCTTCACATGAATAGTCATTTCCAACAAATTTCCCGTTAAGCGATAATACAAGTTTACCGGACTCAAAATCACTTTTAATGCCCGGTTTTCTCAAAAGATTTCTACTCACTAAGTTCCTATTCATATCTGAAACATGTAGTACATTTGTAAGAGTAACATTTTTCCCAGAAGTGAAGATAATTTCTACACTTCCTTTTCCAATTACTTTGGACCGCACCTTGTTACCCATTTGGATCTCTTGATCTTCATCCACTTCATTGTATGTTTTGAACAAAGATTTGTCATGTGATACATGCACCGTGACACAAGTATCATACCACCAGTTGGGAGCCTTTCCTTTAATTGCATTTATTTCGCTCACGGTGGTCACTATCTTGTCTTGTTGGATGGAATTCACTTTACCCTCGGAGTTATTGTGTTTTCGGTGTCTATAGTCTTTTCCGTAGTGTCCAGATTTCCTACAAACAAAGCATCCTCATTTGGTCTTCTTCTTGAACTTATTAAGATTTCTCGAAAGCTTCCTTTTGTTGGATTTTGTTGACGGTGAGAAATTTTTTACAGCATTTACTTTGGAAGTGCCCTCATGAGAATCACTTTTATCACGTATTCTCGACTTTTTCTCGATCCGAAGATGTTTTTGCAGTTGTTCCAAAAAATAATCTTTAAAACTATGTATTATCTTCTTCCGGTATCCTTTCTAAGTTCCGGAAGTTTGGCAATTATAGCTCCCACTTGAAAGATCTCTGGTATTTCAATTTTCACCGCCTTCAACTTATTAATAATTACTTTCATTTCATGTATTTGGGGGAAGAAGGGGAATATTGTCTAAAGATTTAAAATTGAAATACTTAGAAATTAAAAATGTCTTTGTACCTTCTTCTTCCTTTTTGTATTTATTTTCGAGCGCATCCCAAATTTCCTTTCCTGAAGTTGTGTTTGTATATAAGTCATACAAACGATCTGATAAGGTGTTGAGAATGTGACCGTGGCATATTAACTCATCTTCTTGGCGCTTTTGTCTTTCATTCCTCACCCCTTTGGTTTCTTCATTTGTTGGTTCCGGTAGTGGCGCCAATTCCGGATCTAGGATGTAGAAGATCTTTAGTGCAGTGAGAAGAAACTTCAATTTATCTTTCCATTGAGTGTAGTTTGTTCCATCGAACCGATCTAATCGCACCAAATCTTAATTCATGAGTTTGATTGTCACCATCGTTGTCTCGCTTTCCATTGCAGAGATATTGTTTGAGATTGTTGGAGAAATTTCATTGAATTTGAGTAGACATCACAAAATATGAACTGAAAATGTCAATAACAAGAAAATCATGAATTTGTATCAACGAATGACTTGAACACGATATCGTTGTCCTCAAACGATATTTGCCTCTTCTCCTATGAATTTGAGATACTTCGAAGGTTGTTGGCAAATGGTTTGCAGGATTATAACAAGTCTTGCAAGGATTTAAGCAGCAAAGTACAAGTACAAATTCTAGAAAACTTGAAGAATACAAAGAATGAATATGAATATAGCTTTTAAAAATTTTGATATTTGATTTTTGGAAGTAATATGGAACCTTGATTTTTTTGTGATGATTTTGCCTTCAACATGGATCCAATATATATAGGTCATACACCACATTCACGAAATGGTACCAAATTTTAAGCCAAAAGTCACCAAATTTAAATTTACAACGGAAGAAAATGGCCTTCAACAGCACAAAAAAAGTACTATGCGACCACATGGTACAAAACCATGCGATCGCATAGTTCACCCATGCCGAGACCAAATGGTCTCGACACATCGCCATGCGACCGCATGGCGACCATTTATTTATTTATATTTGTTGGTTTTGAACAACATAATCACCGCATTTTCTTTTGAGAAAAAAGTTATGCATAACTTATTGCTGAAAAATTAGAGATCCACATTTTAAAAACTTGAGATAAACGTTCAAAATGACTTTTTCTTTAGTTCAAGACATCACGAAAAATGTGAAGCATTACATATCTTAAGCCCGTGTAACTTGTCTGCTAATGCCCCTTTGAATAGGCATTGTAGCGTTCACTGAAGAAGAGGGCTATAGTAATTACCTCTATACGCCTCGTCAAGAAAATGTTGAAGTCCATCGGATTGATGATCGAATCTGATATCATAGTATTTCGTTCCTTACTTATTGTTCGTGACAAATGATTGAATAATATATTTTGTTCGAATTTCGAAAAAAAAAAATTGTTTCAATGATCAAGTTATGTAGTTAATTAAAATGTCATCTCTACATATAACTTGATGAGCATTAAAAACTATATAAATGTCCGATCTATAATGTCCGATCGAGTAAATAGTTGAGACATCTCGAGAAAAGTTTTTGAAACACAAGAATTGATAAGAGTGAGAATTATTGAGTAAATGACATAAAAAAATAAAAAACAAAAAATAAAAAATCAAAGAGTGCTGGGTACCCTCCTAATTAGTGGAATCACTCACAGCTTGTTTGGGAGTGATTTTTTGTCCAAAAAAATTGATTTTTTGACTGTTATTTTACATTTCAGCCTTCATATTTGATTTTTTTTTATCATAGGTAGACCCCACTTTTTTCTTAATGATCAAAAAATCAATTCTTAAAATCCCTCTCAAGCAGGCTCTCAACCTCTCTATCTCCGCATCTATGTATGTCTGTATAATTATAAAGACAAAAACAAAATAAAACGTCGTTTCTCTTACAAAACATTTTCATTGCACCCCACAACATTAATGAACATTTATTTTAAACACACTAACCTTAATAATTTATTTGGGGTTCAAAAATTCAAACACCTCGTACAATCCTCTCCTTTCTATAGGGTCGAAAAATTCAAACACGTAGAATTTTATATAGAAATGATGTTTCTACCTGAAAAATAGAAAACAAAAGAAAAAGAAAAATGTAATTTTATAATCTGTCTTGCATACATTTCTGCACAAACTCTGATTATATATAATCATTGCTTGCTTCTTTACAAATTCGACTCATAAAGACTCCATTCATTTTTAACTAATTCTCTCTCTCTTTACTCTTCAGAATCCCACAGTTTCAAAGCTCTCTCAGGTCCCTCTTTCTCTTTCTCTTCATTTTCATGCAATATATTGAGGTATAGATACATGCATATAGACGAGTGTTTATTCAAGTTCCTTTCTTTTTCTTTTTTTCTGATGAATCTTTTTTGGGTATTCTATATTGCAGTTATTATTATTTTTTCTTTTCTGGGATGGCTTGATGTTTTTGAAGATATAATTTAATCAACAGGATAAGAATGCGGGTAAAGGAAATGCACCCTTTGTGCTGCATAACGTTGGAGAGTCAAGGAATTGGGAACGGTTCGCCGGAGCCGATGCTATTGAGAACTGGGTCGGCGGTGGCGAACTCCAGAGGTGGATCTGAAGTCAATGCCGGAGGATCTCAAGTCAACAGCAGTAGCACCACAACGAGTGTGGCTGGGATCCTCTACAAATGGACGAACTACGGCAAAGGGTGGCGATCCCGGTGGTTTACCCTACGCAGCAACGGCGTACTGTCATACTCAAAAACACGCCGCCCCGACATAGTCTCCGGCGATGACGTCATTCTCATCGGCCACGTCAAGCCACCTACTAGTCGTAAACGCAGCAAAGCCGTTGGCACCGTGCATTTAAAGGTGAGTATAAACACTCAATTCAATTAATCATGAATGAAAAACAGCAATGCATTAATTGGGATGTGATTGAGGGTTATTTGAAGGGGTTGAGGATGTGAGTGTACAGTGGAAGAGAGAGTGAAAGTGGGGGCTTGTCTTTATATTGTTGTGGTACAGTAAAGAATTTCCCTCTATTGGGAAAGAATTGAGCCAGTGAAAATTACTATGGTTGTTACCATTTGATGGCCAGAGCACTCTCTCTCATCTTTCTCTCATATATCTCTTTTTCTGTGTGCTGTCAGGCACTAAATAGCTTTCAAATCTGAGCTTTTTTGATTTTTCATCTGTATAATTTTGTTATGGCAGTTTTTTTCCCCAAATTAACGAGGCATTAGTCTATAGTACGTCACATCAGCAGGTGAATAGCGCGGGGCCAAATCTGGGGCAAAACTGGTGTAGCCCTATACCTACCTAAGTTCTTATTCATGGTTTTTAGCCTCTGGTCACATCACATTTTGATCCGAAAAAGAAGAAAAAACCAGTATATTCATGAGGAAAAAATACCCATTTTGATGCAAAGTGATGCAGATCCGATTATTTGTATTGTGGGTATAAAAAATGGCGTTTTGAGGTGGGAATTGGTTATTTATTTATTTTATTTTATTTTGTTTTTATTTTTTTTGGGATCTACCTAGTATTTTGATAAGAAAAAAGGACCCATTTTGATGCAAAATGCAGATTTGTCTATTTGTTTTGTGGGTATAATGTAATGGTGTTTTGAAGTGGGAATTGGGCAAAGTCAAGATTTTTCTTTGTTAAGAAAGGTAGATCTATACAAGTAAAAGAACTTGTGCGCTTTTAAACTTTTTTCATACTGTAGCATGTGACCAGAGAATGAAGAAAAATTAGGAAATTGATACAAGGGAAGAGAACTGAGAATCTTGAAATGGATATTCTTGCAAGGTGATGTTCTTGGTGAGCCGAGAACTCAGTCACAATTCTTTATTTTTTTCAACCCTTTTATGATCCTAAATTCATCCGGGTTTTTAATTGTGGTTTGGGGTTTCCTTGCTCGTTGGCCAGAAAGGTAATAAGTTTTATTTAATTTAGAAGTTTATATTCTATATATTTTTTTATTCCTATTAATTGCTACTGAAAATAGTTTATGATGTCAGAAATTTATCCCTTGAGTGAAGTGCCTGATGTTGATAGTTCCTTACTTCAAGCACCTGTTTTATAATTGGTTAATTTAATAAATGTAATTTCGCATTTGATGGCTTATTTGATAAGTGGGTTTTCCCTATTTGTTTTAGTGATTCGCAAATTGAGATTAACATAAACAGTGTCTGTTTATATTTGGACTACTTGATGGAGATGTAGAGTAGTATTAGGAGGACAATTACATATAAAGGCCACTTGGTTATGTTTGCAGATCTCGTCATTTCGTGAGAGTAAATCAGATGATAGGCGATTTTACTTATTTACGGCTACAAAGACACTTCATTTACGGACTAATACAAACAAAGAAAGAGCGGCTTGGATACGTGCTTTGATTTCAACAAGAAGCCTCTTTTCCTTGATACCACTGAATGACAATATCCCCATTCTTACTAGAGATTTATCAGTATCGACTGAAAGGCTAAAGGAACGCTTGCTTGAAGAGGGAATTGGCGAGGGACTTGTCAAGGATTGCGAGCAGATCATGCTCTCAGAATTTTCAGAAATACAGGGACAGTATCAAGTTCTTTGCGATGAGCGCTCCAATTTGCTGGACACATTAAGACAGTTAGAGGTAGTTTTTGCTTCATCCTTTTTTACTAGATCATGTGTTTAGTTGAATCGTTTGAAGCTCTCTTTCCAAATTTGGACTATTTATTTGCTTTCTTTTCTTCTTTTGCATTATGTGGACAATTTTCCAAACTGCTTGGTTAGATGCATACGGCTTGTTTCTGAATCTTATTGTCTTTAAACACCCATGGCCTGACCTTTTTTGACGGTTGTATTTATGTTTTGATTTTATTTTGTACATAAAAATTAGGTAACAAATTTGATCGCCAGCATTTTGATGATAATTCATTAATAGTTCCATTGTCAAGTTATTAAGCTGCATTTTCCAATGAAACAGGACAACCCTTATCTCTACGAACAGCTTACATATTCGTTAAAAAATAATTCATTATGCACCCTGAAAAAATGCCCCTATGATTTTCCTTTGTGATGGAAATTATTTTTTAGCACTCATAATGACAGAGGGACCAAACTATGCTAGGGTAAACAAATAGACTCAATTGTAGAAGAACTATGGTTTGTTGAATTCATATTCTATGATTTTTTCTGTATCAAAAGAAAATCCTATACAAGTCGGAAATTATAGTGACATCTTTTTAGTTTTCGTCTTTGTGCTATCTCTGGTTATTGGAGAGTCAAATGTATTTTGCAATCGAGGCAAAAACACCGTGGTTGTTAAATTTTATCACGTTACAAAAATGTGGTAATCTAGATAAGATTTTTTAATAATGAGGCAGGGCAAGTGTTATCGATGCTTACTCATTATTATGCTGCATTTCATTTAGCGTTTAATCCCCTGACTTTAATATATATTGTAGAACATAAGTTCAGTAACATGACAATGTTATTCATTTTAATTTTCCAGGCAGCGAATATTGAAGCTGAAGCCTCTGGAATTAATGATGGTGAATACCAATTGATGAAGCAAGAATTTTCGAATCTCTCACGTGGAAAAAACATTGGTATGTTATATTTCTTTACACTGCCTTCTGCCCTCGAGATGATTTTTGATTCTGTATCTAGGTTTAAGGTGTACTGTCCAGTATAAACAACTTAAGGATTTGGGTTCCAATTAAAATGAAGTTCGGTTTTTGAAAGTAAGGAAATAAAATTTTGGTATGAACTTTCATCTTTTGAGTTACAGGATATTGTTGACTATTTATTGATTTTGATCTACCTAGTGTTTCTAAAGACCATAAAATCAGAGGCACCCTTAATTCGAATTTCATCAAATGCAATCATTTGGATGAGATTTCAGATAACTTAAAAATGTTCCTTCCAAATCCCACCAAGATATGATCCTGGTTTTCTGTTTTTAAACATGTAAAATCTCATGAAATCTCATTTAGTTCCAAATCACATAAAACTATAAGATTATTAAGAGCGTGTTGAAAGAAATCTTAATACAATTTTGAAATCCATTGTGTTGTGCCTCCTGGACTTAGTAAAAGAAGATACTTATATTTTCAAATTCTCAGATAATCTTGCAGTCTGACAATTTAAGGTGTAATACATATTTTTATGAAGATCATTGTAATAACTTTTACATTATATTTCGAGCAAACATATTTTATGAATTGAACGGTAAACCTATAATTCAGCCTCCATTTGAACAGAAGTAATCATCTAATACTGTTATAAAATTCTCTCTTATGTTAAACATGATGAAGGAGAACTTCAAAAGCTACTATTTTTCAGGTTTAAAAAATATTGAGAATGGGAAACTGGATCGATTTGGTTCTTGAATTTTTTTTTAAAGAAATTATTAATTATAATGTTAATCATATGGTTCTGTTCTATGAAGACCATAAACTGAATTATTTTCTATCTAGAACTGGATGGCTAAAGACCCTAATCTGATAGCAGTTATTATCGACCATTGTTAAAATGCAGTAATATGTAATAATATGAGATTATTCATTATTTTACTTTCAAATATATGTACCCGAAAAGTTTTTCATGCCTTGTGGGATGCAGAGAGGGAACTCCCTCTCACTACAAGTGAAATCAAATATTAAGCAAGCATTGCCTCATGATCTGCCGACCCTGTAAAAAGTACTTAAGTTAGACACTGGTAGTTTCTGTACGCTTTCCAGTTACGATTGGCTTATGTGTATAGCAAACCTTAGAACTTTTAATCTGTTTTGTTGGAAATATATTGTTCTTTCCCTGACGTCTTATTCTGAAAAGCAGAATGGAGCACTACAGAATCATCAGATGACGTTGAAAAACAAGACCTTGAGGAAGCTTCAGATGAAGAGGAAACTCACTTTTTTGACACAAATGAGTATTTTTCTGAACCAACTATTAGTTGTGAATCAGTAGGTGTAGATCACACGGATAATGATCCAAGATTGAAAAACCAAACCAATGACTTGAACAAGGCAGATGCAAAGAAAAGTGTATTTGCTTGTAGATACCCACAAGTCGAAAGACGAAATCGGCTACCAGATCCTGTTGACAAAGAGAAAGGGGTTAGTCTGTGGTCTATGATCAAAGATAACATTGGAAAAGATTTGAGCAGAGTATGTCTCCCTGTATATTTTAACGAACCATTGTCATCCCTGCAAAAGTGTTTTGAAGACTTCGAGTACTCTTATCTTTTGGATCAGGCATATGAGCATGGGAAAGCGGTATGTTCGGTTTACATTACCTTTTATAACTCTTTTTGCTTATTTTTTCAAAAAATAGACCACATATTTTTTTGTTCTTCAATATACTTTTTTAGCGTCATGTTGGCTTTCTGCTTCCTGCCATTACCTGTTGAGAGATGCTGAATGATTGCTGGCGCCAGTTACCTTATGATTTTGCAAAATATTTTTGATGCTTGTATACAGCCCTTCACCATATTTTATAAACACTAAATCATCCTTTACTTGTTTAACGATTTTGATTAAATGCAAAAAAATTCCACGGATAGAGTTTTGATGGCAAGAAAATGAGAAAGAGACAAGCATTANTTGTTTAACGATTTTGATTAAATGCAAAAAAATTCCACGGATAGAGTTTTGATGGCAAGAAAATGAGAAAGAGACAAGCATTAGTAATGGAGGAACCTACTATGCTTTCTAAACGACTTTTTTGGTGTATGTTATTTGTTGATTTTATAATTTTAATATGATTAGAGTCGGATGAAACAAATTTAGAAATTTAAATTAGAACTTTAGAAATTAACGGTTTTTAAAGTTCAGTATGAATAATGGAGTCAAAATCAAGATTATGTTGTCATAATGAGTAATTGTTATGGGTATGTAAGTTCAATAATTAAGGAAAGAAGGTTGGACGAAACACATAAATGCTGTAGGATTTTATGTGATCGAAAAATACCTATCAAGTTAAAGGAAAGATTTATGTAGTGACTAATTAGATCATTTGTATACGATGATACTAAATATAATGCCGTTAAATGGGCATATTGTCTATATTTTGAAACTACAAGGTACGAAGATATTAAGCCAATATTTCGTACAGATTTTTTAGTGCTCATATTTCCCCAAACTCATTTTCAACCACATATTCTACAAATATTACTTCTCTCAAAACCTATTCTAAAAAACAATGTTAAATCATTTAATTCTCTTGAATCTTTTAGAAGAGAGAGACATTGAACATAATGGAAAAATAGGATTCATGTAAACAACCCAAATTTGATGGGATTGATACTTGGTAGTAATATTTTTACATATATGTTTGCTCTCTAATTTCTCTCTCTCTCTCTCTCTCTCTCTCTGTAGTTAAATGTTCCACATATTTTTTTGAACTCCTTTCACAAAATTGTCTGAGTTTGAAAGAAGATAATTCTTCTTTACTTTCCTTTTTGCAATGGTATTTGTAGCATAATTGTAAGAAAATATTAACGTTGAAAAGTTTATTGTACTGACTACTTCAATGAGATTACTGCATAATCTCTGCAGTTGTTAGAACAGATGTAACTCAAATCAAAATTTTAGTTCTCACTTCCCATATCTAATTTTCGATCTCAAATCAAATTTCGATCGTTACCAGTGTTAGTAGCTATAATTCTGCTATTTCGGTAGTGCTTTTGTTATTCTTCTAACTGCGTTCTCTGAACTTGGATTAGTATATATTACTGAATTTTGATTGAATTATCTGTATATTTAATTTATGAAATGTACTCGAACTGAGTTGAAGTTACAGAGGAACTTTGAATTTACTTTCTTGAAGATAGTCTCATTAAATAGTTTACCAGGAATGTGGCTGATTTGTGTAATATAGTAGATTAGTATTTCTGCTAAAGTTTGGAATGTAAATACAGCATTGAAGCAAGGCTTCTAGATTCAACGGTGTGCTGTTTATTATTCCCAGGGAAACAGCCTTCAGAGAATTTTGTATGTTGCAGCTTTTGCTGTTTCTGGATATGCTTCATCAGAAGGCAGACACTGTAAACCCTTCAACCCTTTATTGGGTGAGACTTATGAAGCTGATTATCCTGAAAAAGGAGTACGTTTTTTCTCAGAGAAGGTACTTAATATGAACCCCATTGAATCCAGTCTGATTTGGGCTGATACTTCTAGATGATTTTCACACATCTGATATTCATTTATCAAATTGTTGTTGCATCGATTATTTCTACTTTTGCTTGTTCGCTTCCAGACCATGAAGTAAGATTTATCTCATTCTTTGACTTTTGTTTTTTAAAATTGTTGACCAGAGTTTTTCTGAAATAGGTCAGTCACCACCCTACACTCATAGCCTGTCATTGTGAAGGTAAAGGCTGGAAATTCTGGGGTGACAGTAACCTTAGATCAAAATTTTGGGGGAGATCTATTCAACTTGATCCAGTCGGAACTCTGACTTTAGAGTTTGATGATGGGGAGATATTCCAGTGGAACAAGGTGTGTGCAACCTGTCTTTATCACGAGTAAATTGATGAGATGTATTAGCC